TGGCCGCGCGCCAATGACCTTTGGCATGGCCGCGGCGGCAAAACGATCCTCCGACGCAGATCGCGCATCCCCCCGCCAACTCGAAACGAAGGTCCTGGGTCGCCGCCAAACCCGCCGTCGGGAGCGTCGCCGTCGGGAGGCCGTCGGGAGGTCGTCGGGAGGTGGTTCGGAGGTGGTTCGGAGGTGGTTCGGAGGTGGTTCGGAGGTCGTCGGGAGGTCGTTCTGTGCCAGCACACGTCGGGAGGTGGTCGGGAGGTGGTTCGGAGGTGGTTCGGAGGTGGTTCGGAGGTCGTCGGGAGGTCGTCCGCGCATCGGCTGGACACGGTCGGGAGGTCGTCGGGAGGTGGTTCGGAGGTGGTTCGGAGGTGGTTCGGAGGTCGTCGGGAGGTCGTTCTCGATCTGGGGGGTGAACTTCAAACGCTGCCCCGAGGTCGCTCGCGTTGCGGCCGCGACGCCCAAAACTCGAACCCAGGGTCGGCGCCGATGGCTCTTCCAAGTTGCCCGTACCGTCGGCACTTCATCTCCGAGCTCGGATCGGGCGCGGGCGCGCGTCCTTGCACTGCCCAGCACAGGCATGCGCGATGCGCTTGTGCACCCACCACATTAGGCCGACGCGTCAAACGTTGGCGCGCCGCAGGCCCGCAGAACGCGCATGGCAACGCTGCGTCGAATGGCGCCGTGGGGCCCGTCGCGCATGCATGCCAATGAAACAATCCATTCAGTGCAACCTCTTGCCCCACCACCCACCACCACCACCACCGCGGCCACCGCGCGCGCGCGCCTCCCCCCCCCGAAACAAATGCAAAAACGCGCGCGCGCGCCGACGCACCCGCGCACAAACACGCGCACGCACATGCGAACGCACGCGCGCACGCACGCGCAGCACGCGCGCACGCATTCACCACGCAGACCACCACCGCCCCCCACACGCGCCACCACCACCCCACCCCACACCGCCCACTTACCACCGCCGCCGCCCCCGACCCCACCACCGCCCCCCACCCCACGCCCTTCTCAGATGCACTGGCTGGTAAGTCCGCCGCCACCGAAGCAGATGTCTCCAACATCATCGTGAGCCCCTGCTGCGTCACGCGCCCGCGACGGAGGACCTCTCGCAACGGATTACGTGCCCGACGAACCCTCAGATTTTGCCAGTCATGCGAACCCACGTGCAAACGCGCACGCACGCCACAACCACTGCACCGCCCCGCCCCACCCCGCCCCACCCCGCCACCGCACCTACCTCGCTCCAGCACTGCCCGCACCTCCACGCCCAAACACCACGCACGCATGCACGCGCGCGCACGCACGCACGCGCACGCACGCACGCACGCACGCGCAGTCGCAAGTGAGTCTGCGGCCATCAGGTTCGGGACGCTTTGCATGTCGCGCGCATGCAGGAACCTGAAATTCAACGCCCGTCGACCTGAAACTGCCATCACGTGAAGATAGCCTGTGCCTCCTTACCTCCGCCCCTGAGCAAGGGCGACTCCAATGTGGAAGCTGCGGCGCCAGCGAGCCCACGGGATGCGGAAGAAGAGCGCAACCACATGTCATCGGGCGGCGCAACGCCCACGGAAACGTGAAATGGAAAGACCGCCGCCGAACCCGAGGGAAACGAGCGTTGCTGCCACGACGCCTGAGCTTACCCGTCCGCAGCTGCGCGTGCAAATTTATCACTGCTGCTACGACTACCGCCCTGCTGCTTAGAGCTGCGCGGGGTACAACTGACATTGTTCCTATCGCGCCCTCGGCGAGATGAAGCAGTCCGAACTGCAATCTCGCACTAGCCACCGCACTGGATTCCAGACGACGAAGCGCCCTCGCGAACTTGCGCCCGACGAAATGCGAGCAGCCGCTGCGTTGCCGCGCCCATCGGTCGCCCTGCACTGTTGCGCACCCCCCCCCTCCTTTCGTGCCATGCCCGCCACGGGCACCGCAGAGCGCGCGGCCCGCGCGACACTCCAGTTTGTTGGGAGGGCGACGCGCCGCAGACATCGGGGCGGCGCGTGGCGCAACCCTATGGCCAATTGCGACAAGACTCGACCTCGTTGCCCTCCCCACCCTCACCACCTCCCCCCTCCCATCCGCACGCGCGCGCGCGCCGCCCGCTCGCCCGCCAACCCGCGCCGCTTCTGCCACCGCCGCCAACCGCAACGCGCGCGCAACCACACGCGCGCACGCACGCGCATGCCCGCATTGAAAAGACGAGACATGATCACAGAGCCAGGAATATCAGCGCGCGTTGGCCCGCCAAGAATCGAATGGAGATCCTATGAGGGCACGCGAAGCCGCAAACGACCTAACATGAGGCACTGGCCCAAGACCATACCCCGCATCCAAAGCTTATCCACCGACCCAAGCCCAGTCAAAGACACCACCGCAACGCCAGCCGACCAGCATCTCAAAACCGTTCTGGCTGTCGAAAGACATAGCCCAACCCAGATGCCCAATCTAACTGGTGCACCACGAGCTTGAACGTCAGCTGGCGCCTGGGCGCCGACACCTTCGGGTTGAAAGGCCAGGCTCCTGGCGCCAACAACCCGAGCGCAACCAACGGTGGTCGCGCAGCAAAGAGAGTACCAGCGCGACGTGTAGCGTGTGAGGGCCCCTGTCGCCGTCGCAATGTGAAGTATGTCGCGCTGGCAGTGCGACATTGCGCGCGCTGCCCCGCCCGCGCCCTGCCCTGCCCGCGCCCCGTTGGCCGCGCTGCCCCGCGCGCAGCATTCCCAAGAAGAGCACGCATGCGCGCCTCCGCCATCACCGCCACCAGTCCGCGCACGCCCCTGCAAATGCACGCGCGCAGCAAGTATTGCTGGCAACGATCCTTGCAGGAGCACCTGAAACGCCGCATGGGTCGCGCGCGCAGCTCTGCCATGCAATGCGAAATGCGCGGCTCACGCGGCAAACAGTGCCCCAAACCGCGCGCGCCAGGCCAAACACATTGCGAGCGTTGCGCGTCCCGCGCGCAGCATGACGCGCGCATAGTCGCCGAACCTCTGCTTGACGCGCTGTCACGCGAAAGAAGCGCGCGATTGAAGGCGCAAGCTCAGTGACGCCCACCAAGATTGACCGCTGACAATTAGCATATGCACGCGCGAGCCGCCGACGCATAGTAAACCGCGACAACCGACTGAGGGTGCAAATGCGTTGCCAAGCGTTTGGTTTGCATGCGCGTCACGGTCGCAAGGCCCTCGCGTAATTCAGCTCACGCACCGAAGCGCAACGACGCGCTTTGACTTCGCGACGCACTGAGGTGGGGCTCTTCGGCGCTTCGCGACGTGCAAATGTGATTGCTTTCGGCGCGCATCTACGGAACGCGCGATAATCGCGCACGTATTGCGCCATGGCAAGCGGCGCGGCTAATGTCAGCGCATGACCCATATGTTTGCATCGCGACTCCCCTCTGCGACGCTTTCGGTGGCATCCTCCAACGCCCTGCGGCTCGGAACATAAGCGCTTGCGCCATGATGTGGCAGAGTTGGGCCATGCCGAGCGCCTAAACATTTCGCTTGTCATTCTGGCGCGTGATAATAGCGACGTGCGCGATGGGTTCGACTGGCTACGATGCCTCCGAGATAAGGCAGGCCCATCGACATAGGCATGGGCGCGCGCTTCTGCTGGGCAGCCTGACGGCACCTAACCGAAGCGGGTTTTGTGACGGCGCGCGCAAATCGCAGGCACCGCTTGCGCCACAACAGTGGTTGAAGTGCGGCGGCGCCAGCCATTTGGATTGCGATAAACACAGCGCGGAGAACACATCTATACTCAGTGGACTAAGCGGCGACAGCCACATGGCTGGCATGCGCGCGCGCTGCGATCATGTTGACATTTGGTGCTCGCTGCCGCGTCGCGGAATTCATATAGTTGATTTTATTATGGTGAAGTTTCGCCGCAGGTGCGAGCTATGTGGTGCGAAATGCGCACGGAAGCCACTGGCGCTCTCAACGCGGCCCTGGGGGGGGGGGGGGGCGGGAAAAAGGGGAGGAGAGTGGGAGGGTGAGGGTGGATAGGGGGTCTAGGGTCTAGGGCCTCGGGGCGGGGAAAGGAGCCATGGGGGGAGGCACTTCGACGTCTGTTCATTGTGCGCCACTGCAGAATATTGAAACCAATGTTGTTGTTTGGGTGCGTTTCCTGGGCATGTTATATCGGCGCGAATGCTGCCGAATGCTAGTTAGTTGTTCGTGCTTGAGCCTCCGTGCGCGGGCCCATCAATGGCCTACATGGGGCCACATTCGGATTGTCTGGAGCGCGGTGCGCGCCAGATTGAAGAATGGGGGCTCGCCCCACCCCCGCCCCCACCAGGCCAGGATCGTCGGCCAGATCTTAGGGCCCCTCCAAGCCCCTCAGGTGACGTCGGAGCGCCGACAGGCGAGTACAAAATATACAACGACGCAATCAGAAACCAACACGTCCTTGCTCCTTCGAGCCTCCCAGGCGGGGGGGGGGTGCCAAGTGAGGGCGGCGAGGAGGCATGTGGTGGTCAGCAGTGGGTCGGGCAGGGAGAAGAGAGAAGCGAAGGAGGAAGCCCACTTGGGGCGGCCAGGGGCCCCGCTGGGAGAGAAGGCGAGAGGAGGCGATGGAAAGAGAGAGCGCGCGGGAAAAGAAAGGTCGCAGAGAGAAAGAGAGAGCGAGAGAGGAAGAGGGAGGAAGCGAGGAGGATGAAACATTACAGAGAAAGAAGGCGAGAGAAGATAAAACGTCGCGGTGGGCGCGCCACCCCCGCGCTTGACGACCATCACCGTCGCGCTTCATGAAGGCGCCATCGGGTTAAGGCACCCCCCCCCTCTGTTACGTTTTCATCCTCCTTGTCGTCCTCCTCCTGGTTCTGTCCTCCTCCTCTCCTCACTCGCTCGCTAAAGCTATCTGGCTCTGACCTCGTCATTTGCTGACCGCTGCCCCATCAACAGGAAAGAACGGCGCCGACGGACGGCAAGCATGGGAGCCACAACAATTACGCCAAGGAGATTTCATTGTTTTCACAAGTGCTGAGTCTGCTCAGTCTGCAGACTCGGGCTCCTCTGGCTCCCCAGGCTGAAGCTCGCGCTCACCATGGTTCAAAATGAACTCGACCTCGGGACCACCGATCGCTTTGAACATCTCCCTGCATCTCTTTCGAACGTCGAGGCTCGCCTGGAACCCTCGGACATGGCGAGCTCGCCCACCCTCCACGTTCGGGAGCATCAGCCACGCCATCAAGTAGCCGATCGGCCTCCCCCTGCAACGATGTAAAGATGCGTCGCACGACCTCTCCTGCGTAGTCTTCACATTGAACACTGCGAGCGGCAGCTCTGCTACCAAGCGCTTCGTCACCCTATAATACTTGGTGGTCCCATGGTCAGTGTTGACGGTGATGGCGTTACTGTTCCACTTGAGCTCACGCGAAGCCTTGACATGACCAGGTCCACTGGAGGGCGCGCTCGGCTCCATCGGCACGTCGCCCGACACCGAGACAGGGCTGCCTGGACATGAAGACGGTGGCTTCGAGAACTGGCACAACTGTTGGTCGATGTGTTCTTCCAAGTCAACATCCGATGGCACGGACCCGATGTCATCCTCAATGTTGTCGCGCATCATCTCTTCGAACAGGTCGTCGTCAGCGCTCCCGTCGCTGTCCATGAATAGCGCTGCCGAGGAACCACAGTCGGAATGGAATCCATGCTGGGACGCGGCATCATCGTCACCTGCTGCGCATTCAGGTTCGGCGGCCGTTGCAAGCTGCTGCTCGTCGTCGACGCCGTGGTCCAAACCATGCACGACCACCTCCATAGCATCGTCATGAGCCCTTGCTGGTGCACCACCGCCCCGTCCACGACCACGACCCGAGCCACATCCAAGGCTGCCTCCTCGTTCGCGACCGCGCCCTCGGCGCGCAAGATCCCTGGCAGCTTTCTCGGCTTCGTCAAGCTTGTGCACCTCGGCCTCCGCGCCGTCCCAGATGTCGATGGCTGGGTACGCGCCCCCCTCCACATGCAATCGATGAACCCTTTGTCGTGACGGTGTTACCCTGAGAACTCGTACATGCGGTTGCCCAACGAGCTTGTAGAACACGAGGTTCAACGCATCATCCAAGGGTAGCAAGCGACGGCACACCGCCCAAATGTCGACGAAGTCTGGGACCCTGCCGTCCTGGACTGGCGCCACGCCAATTAAGTCATGGCGGTCTTCAGCAGGGAGACGAATCATATTGCAGAAGGTAGGGTACAACGTTGGTAGTTCACGATACTTACTGACGTGCAACCACAGGTCAGATCCAAGGTTCTCCCCAGCGCCATTCACAGCCTCGACCTTAACAACCAGCATCGTGACGTCTTTCACGAGCCGCTTGAAGTGCTTCTTCGTGCCGAGCGCCGCCTTCAAGCCACGAAGAGCAGCACGGAAGCGGGCCACGAACAGTCTCATGAGTTTTCCGAGGTCGCCTTGGCACACACAATAGCCAGCCTCGAAACATTGTGTACGAGTGGTCGGTACCTTCCCGAGTTTCTCAACGCGCGATGTCATGATCTGCGCGTGGAGGCGCCTCCACTCTTGCGATGCTGCCTCCTGCGTAAATTCAGCAGCAGCTTCGCCAGCGGCCTCCAACGCCTCATCAGTGGACAAGTCAAGGGTGACGAACGCAGAGTGGGAATGGGCGTGCTCCGCCTGGAAATGCGCCTGCTGCTCTGCGCCCATCAGGCGCCGCGACCTATCGCGGCGCCCGTGAATGCTCACACCCGCCCCCCCGTGACACGTAGCCCAAACCGTTTTGGGAGCCAAAACGCAGAACAAGAAAAACTAAGACCGAAGACGGTAGGACGCGTAGGGGCATTCACGGGCACCCTTGACCTCATGGTAGCTGAAAGTGTCGCTGGGTCGGGCGAGCCAGCCTTGACCTCCTTCTCGATCTCGACCTGCTTGGACGTCAACTCTCGGTGCGCCTGCCTCTCGCGACGGAGCACGTCGCGGAACTCCCGCATGCAGAGCTTGTAATTAGCGGTGGCGTGGCGGCGGTCGTCGTCAGCGTCTGGATCCTCAGGCTCGTCTGCCACTGACCCCTCTGGCATGCCATCGTCCAACGGAAGCGCGTCGATCCGTGGCCGTTTCCGCTGTGGCCGTAGCTGTGCACCAGCGCGAGCTACCGTTGACATGATGCGACCGAGCTGCTCGTAGTACTGCATCTGCTCTTCGTCCAACCCGCCATAGAGAAGTGATAGTTCTGCCATCGATGATGGGTTGATCGGCAAGCCAGAACAATGAAGAAACGCCCGCCACGGCCCCATGCGACAAACCTGCTCACGCTGATGTCCGTCTTCAGGGTCGCCTCGGCGTCCAGAAGGTTGCGCACGAGGGGCAGCCTTGTCAGTCGGACGCGAACGCCACAAGCCAGTTGACATCTCCTCCGAGAAGAACACCTCTGCACTCAGATACATGATGTGTTTTTTGTTCGTTGTCGTTGAACCCGCTTTCTTGGCTTGGACTGAATGTTTTCGTTCTGTCGAGCTCGTGTCGGTATCAGCCAGCAAGTTCACTGAAGTAAGTTCGGCCCTGGCGCCAGCTCCGTGAATGTCTGCTTTATAGAAAGACAAGAAACCTCTGGTGTACGAGTCCAATGTGTTCGGGCATTGCTTGGACAGCTGATCAAGAACCTCTGGGTACTTCAGAGCCGCTAACGTTGGATAGGGTGGCTTACGACATCTGGTGATGACAAGCTCGTGCGCGGCAGCGCCCAGCCGAATGCTCATGAGGAATGCCATCAACTGCTGGGACTCGGTGCGACAGCTGACGAGATCGAATTCGGAATCCTTGAAAACCATGTCGCCAATACCATTCATGAAGGCGCCGTTGTCCTCGCCTTCGTATTGTAAAATCGCCTGGTAATGACGGCCACCGTCCCGCAAGAAGCAAGCTTGCTGTTCGCGCTCGAAAAAAACGCTGGAAGACCGAAGCTGCCGAAGAACCCATGGCATAGATCTCTGCAGGCAGATCCGAAACAACACGAGATCATCCTGAAATCTGCCACTCAGAATCCAAGACGTCGTCCGCGTCTTGCGATCGGTCGAGTCCTCCATCCATAAGTTCTCATCATCCTCGCCCTCGTCGCCGACGTCGGACGGGCCCAAGCCGGCAGCGCCGAGCACGTCGCTGGACAAGGCAGCGGCGGCCACACCTAGCGGCACCATCGATCCCACGCTCCCAATCGACACCCCCCAGCGGGTTCGGCGACCGAGGGGGAGAGGACGAGACGGGCGAGAGCGGCGACGCCGCAAGGGGGATCGCCGAAGGACGCGGCACGATATCGACGGCGAGCTCGAGCGAAGACCCGACAGAGGTGCCCCGTGGAGGAGAGCGACGGGGGGGGTCGAGGACCCAGAAAGACGACCGATTGGGAGGCGAGACCGATGGGCCACCGAAAGTCCTCCCCCGCTGGACCTCCCCCCGTGAGCTTCGTGCACAGGCACCTGCAGCAGCCAGATCGACGTCGGCTACTCTGCAGTACGCCGCTGGGAAGATGCCGAAGATCAGCGTGGGCAGCAAGACCTGGTCCACACATGCGTCGCTGCCCGTCCAATTGTTGCGCTGCAAGACCTTCCAAGCTCGTCTCGGCAACAAGCATTGCAAACCCAGAGTGCACAGCATCTGAACCAGCCGTGGACGACCAAGATTGCATCGATCAACCACTCTGAAAACATCATGCTTGCCCCAATCTCCATAGAACAAATTTGATACAACATGCCTGCGGTAACGGTCGTACGGAGTAGAACCAGATAAGCACAACTGCAAAGTAGACTCCATCCTGTCCAGCGCCTCAGTGCCCAAACTGTCGGCGGAAATGATTCTGACTCTCTCCTGGATGATCGCTCGGGCGGCGTCGATCACATTCGAGCCGTGCGACCCTTGCATCGACAACTGCAGCCTGATAAGATGTGAATCAACTGGTTTCTGAACTAGGTTTAACTCCCCATTGCATTGGGCCTTTTTGTGGGCTAGACAAAGAAGGGTGGGCGTTGTCTCACAGGACCCAGCTCGATCTTCGAGGTATCGCTCTGCTCGAATATTCGGGGCGCCCTCGTCGTGACACGCGATGTTCACTACCCTCTCAACGCCTGCGACAAGATCGGACTCGCCTTCGAAGTTCTGCAGGCGTAAGCTCTCAACGACTGTCTCACCATTGTTCTTGTCGATCGTCTGTAAGATGGACGGCAGTCGACCCAGCAGTGTAAGGTATTCGGACCGATCTCCACGAAGACGTCGTAGGATGAGTCCCCAAGCAAGTTCACTCACCATGACCTTATGGCGTTTGTCTTGCTTGTCCAAGAGGTGCCCTCGATTGTCGGGAATCGCTAACACGTCGTGGCCAGGCGCATCGACTCCCGCAGGTATCGGGGCGACGCAAGGCTGCTGGGCCTCATCATATTTCCTGCGCCTGATGTAAACAACTGCTTTCGAATTGTCATCTCCAGAGCCGCCCCGTCCAGACCGACGAACTGCACTGCAAAAAAGGTCGGCAACTTTCTTGCGAAGGCCTCTATACAAGTAAAACGCACTTGCCCGAGCCTTCTCAACAAGATGGTTGCTGCTACCTCGACCACGTAATAAGGACCTGGCTTTCGACGTGCACTGAACCTGAGCCTGATATGTGTGGACGATTTCCCTGCAACCATCTAGTCGTCTCTGGCGCAACCTGTTTCTCATCGCCAGGTCTGGTCGCGGAACGTCGGCAATGGGCGCGCACGCGTCACTGACAGCAGGGGCAGGATGGACTGCAACAATCGCATGACATGGTACCAGCTCAGGGAGGCGATCGATGGGATCGGCTGCAGCGTTCCAGTCGTCGTCGTCGCTCTGCGCATCTGATGCAGGAGGGGCCGCGACGATCTGACCACCACCACTAGCGTTCCAATCATCAGAATCACTGTCTAGCATGGCCACTGCCAGGTGGCCTGCGGTGCGCTCGCTTCATTGTTCGGAGCAGCCTGTCGCCCCAAAATGGGGCCGAAGGTCGAAACAGTTTGAGCCAACATGGTTGTGGCAGCTCCCCCTTCTTACGCCCCTCCTGTCGTGAAGTTCCTCCTCGCCCGTGCCCTCCTCCCCACTCGCCCCCCATCGTCTGGCGTTTGGTTGCGTTTCCTTTGCTGTATGTTACATCGGGCCCCCACGTGTGTTTGATGCACCTACCCCGAGATTACGTTGGCCCGACGCGTTTGGGGTTCGGTGGGAACTTGCAAGCCCCAAAAACCAACAACCTGAATCTCCCTACCTTATTTCAGTGCTGTCGGACAGTTCAGGGTGCTCCCAAGGTTTGGAGGGCTAAACAGGTCCTTGTTGGCATTGCCCTCATGTGTCTCTAGAGGGGGGCTCGTCGCCGTCGCCGTCTCCACCGCCAGCGTCACCAACGTCGTGTCACCGTTTCTGTCGGGGGTGGCTTGTATCTATTGAACTCTGACAACTACGAGGAGGACCAAGGAGGCCCGAAGGCACTGGGGGGAGGGAGGAGGATGGAGGGCTGTCGGGCCCCACGAAAAGGCAAAGTAGGTCGAGGAATGTCTGAACGAGAAGCTGGAGGAGATGGGGCGAGGATGCGTCTAGCACACTCTGCATCAACAGACATTTCAACTACTTACATGAGTGCTGCTTTGAGCTGGATCCGAAATGTCAGAAAAAAGCGAGGTCGATATTGAACTCGCCACATACAGCGCGAAAAACACCAAAACGAAAACGACCTTCGGGCCCTCGCGCGCGAAAACAACGAATCGCAATCGACCCGGCACCACCATTTCGAAACGACTACGAGGACGACCTCCGAACCACCTTGGGGGATTTTTCAATTTGCTTGGTTCCGAGACTTCTAACCTAGACATGCAGGCCCCCACGCTTGAGCTGCACCGGTTGCTCGCCGCCCGCGCGAAATCTCGCTTGGAGCGGGTCCGTGCCAAAAGTTCGCACGCCAGTCAGCTGGGCCGCGGTTGCGCGTCGCGTTCTCCGGGCCATTCACCTCTCGGCCCGCCGCGCGATTGCATTCGGTGGGTCTTCGACCGCGGCTGACCAGCGGGGAAACTGGATCGCTTCTGCAAGGTGTGTGGCCCGCCGCGATTTCCGCAGAAGGGTGGGTCTCAAATTATACACCGTGCTGGCCAAATGCACTTCTCGCCCCTCGACGGCGAGGCGGGGGGTGATCCTGGTCACGCGATGGCCAATGGCACGCGGCGGGAGGTGGCTCAAACCTGGGCAGACGGCACCGATGATGAATTGGGGTTGGGTGCTTAGCTCTGCCAGAACAGCAGAGCGCGCAGATGTCTCCCCGACGCGGCGTTGCGCCCGGGCGTTCCCCAATATTTCCGCGCACGTCAACCCAGACAACCCCGTTCGGAAAAGCCCTGGCCGCCGGCTGCCATCGAGGTCGGCAGCGGGACTGGCGGAGCGGGCGCCGACAGGGGATATCGAGCAGCTCCAACGCGACCGCGCCGCGGACCCGGCCGCCTTCCACACGCAGAACGAATCCAACATTTTGACTGCGCATCAGAGGCTGCTGCTAGGATGCACGAATTCCGGGGCGGCCATGGAATTGACGCGACGACAGGGGCAGGCAGACGAGATGGCCGCGGCCCACAAGGCGCACTGGGAAACAGTTTTTCGAGCGCCGCGGGTCGACTTCCACTGCGCGCAGCAATGGTCGGTTTCTTTTTTCAGGAGGCGCCCGCGCCGCAGAACCGAGCGCCCGCCCAGCCGCCGCGGCGCGACGCGCCCCAGGAGGCTCGGAATGGCGAGCGTGCCACGGCGCTGGACTTCTGGACCATGAAGGAGGCATTCGGCATGACGACTTCCTTACAGAACGTGGAGTGGGCCGCCGCAGCAGCGAATGTTCGGGCCGCGCAGCTCGACGTGGCGCGCTCCCCGCGGCAGCAATTCCAGGAGGGCGCGCAGAGACCCGGGACGTCTATCACCCACCCCGCTCTCGACCGCTGGCGCGTTGCATGGGCCGAATGGCATGGCAGGGCGCGCGCTCCGTGCCTCGCGCAGACAGAGGAACGCATCGTCTTCCAG